ACAAATACTCCCTCCCATTTGCTTGTGATACTTTCTGAAATAACACATTTGGAAAGGCTCTTTTCTTTTAGATTCTAATCTCACATAACACTGATCTTGGATTCCTACTATTTCTTATGAATAAAGACCCCAAGAGATCACCTCTTCCAGTGTTTCTGGGCCTTATTTGGCTAGAGAAGTCTCCCCACCTCCCACTTCTGGTGCGTAATACTTAACACGTGTGGAATCGACAGCGGTGAAAAATAGGCTCTTTCCAGTTGTCTCTCTCACCTGGGAAGATATAACCCAGGACTTTCTTCCGGGTTCAAGCTCGTAAACAGTAGTTTAATACTTTTCTCACTGGGATGATGAGATCTCTTTCAATTCTCTCTCCCAGGAGTTCTTAAGACTCAATACATCCTAAGAAAAATTAGTAAGTGTGTCCAATTCATTGTTTAATAAGCAGCTTCTAAAATTGTGTCTGGGCAATAGAACATGACTGAAAATTTGTTAGTGGGGGTGGGAGAGGGTTGGCATGGGATGCTGTATGTTACTTTGTTTTTTTCTTTTTATTTCTTCAAAGGTAGAAATGTGAATAGAAGCAGCAATGTATTCATTGTGACAAAATAATAATTCCTTGTATCCGTATGACCCTTTTCAAGGTGCCAGCTTTCATATATGTGTTATCACGAATATTTATACAACAGCCCTGGACAATATATACTCTTATTTTATGGATGAGGAAAGTGAGGCTCAGAGAAGATGAGGAGCCACTCTGTGTGAAGTCCCAGCCCTGAAGGACGGCGGAGCCCTGACTGAGATGAGACCGGATGTGCTGAGTTGGGCGTGTTTTGCTCCACTTCAATGCCTCTCCAGGTTCCCATGCTATTGCCTCCAAGCCCACTAGCTCTATTATTCTGTAGTAATTTGGATTTTAATCTACTGACCATATTATCTATGCAAAGATTTTTTTTTTCTCAGAGTGGAGGCTTACTGCTAAATAGTGAAACAAAACCACTGCAAAACAAATAAAAACATAGCCTCTAGCCTTTTCTAAGAAAAAGACATTCTTATAAGTATCAGTATTCATCACTAATATGTGTGTTCTTTGAAATACCTGACCCCTACTAAAGGCAAAAAACATTATATGACCCAAAGGTCAGTTATTGAGAAATAAATTTCAGAGAACTCCTTCAAAATTCTCTTAACACACCTTTCCTTAGGAAATGCCAAGCACTAAGCAATACCATTATAACGTCAAATTATTCAGGATTTCTGCTCCCGACTACTCAGCTTAGGAAGAAAGAGATACGAAAACAGACAATTACAACAAAGTGCACATACTAAAACACAGGTGTGATCCAGGGTTCTGTGATGGGAGAAACGAACAGAAAGGAGGTGACCACTTAGTGTGATACTAAAGGATAAACTGGATTTCACCAGAAGAAAGGAAAGAGAGAAAG